TCTACTAACGTCAATCCATGTTCCTCAGGTGTCAGGCTGCCGAACGCTGTCACCCATCCAACTGCACTCTACTAACGTTACACCATGTTCCTCAGGTGTCAGGCTGCCGAACGCCGTCACCCATCCAACTACACTCTACTAACGTTACACCATGTTTCTCGGGTGTCAGACTGCCGAACGCAGTCACCCATCCAACTACACTCTACTAACGTTACACCATGTTTTTCGGGTGTCAGGCTGGCGAACGCAGTCACCCATCCAACTACACTCTACTAACGTTACACCATGTTTCTCGGGTGTCAGGCTGCCGAACGCAGTCACCCATCCAACTACACTCTACTAACGTTACACCATGTTCCTCAGGTGTCGGGCTGCCGAACGCAGTCACCAATCCAACTACACTCTACTAACGATACACCATGTCCCTCATGTGTCAGGCTGCCGAACGCCGTCACCCACCCAACTACACTCCACTAACGTTACACAATGTTTCTCGGGTGTCAGGCTGCCGAACGCAGTCACCCATCCAACTACACTCTACTAACGTCAATCCATGTTCCTCAGGTGTCAGGCTGCCGAACGCCGTCACCCATCCAACTGCACTCTACTAACGTTACACCATGTTCCTCAGGTGTCAGGCTGCCGAACGCCGTCACCCATCCAACTACACTCTACTAACGTTACACCATGTTTCTCGGGTGTCAGGCTGCCGAACGCAGTCACCCATCCAACTACACTCTACTAACGTTACACCATGTTCCTCAGGTGTCAGGCTGCCGAACGCCGTCACCCATCCAACTACACTCTACTAACGTTACACCATGTTTTTCGGGTGTCAGGCTGGCGAACGCAGTCACCCATCCAACTACACTCTACTAACGTTACACCATGTTTCTCGGGTGTCAGGCTGCCGAACGCAGTCACCCATCCAACTACACTCTACTAACGTTACACCATGTTCCTCAGGAGTCGGGCTGCCGAACGCAGTCACCCACCCAACTACACTCTACTAACGATACACCATGTTCCTCAGGAGTCGGGCTGCCGAACGCCGTCACCCACCCAACTTCACTCTACTAACGTTACACCGTGTTCCTCAGGAGTCAGGCTGCCGAACGCGGTCACTCACCCAACTACACTCTACTAACGATACACCATGTCCCTCAGGTGTCGGGCTGCCGAACGCAGTCACCCATCCAATTACACTCTACTAACGATACACCATGTCCCTCAGGTGTCAGGCTGCCGAACGCCGTCACCCATCTAAATACACTGCGCAACTAACGTTGCTTACTTTCACCTGGTTTGTACCTATGTGCTGTACACAAGACCACGTTCCACCATAATATGTTGTATGTTCGTCGCGGTTAACCACAATAATTATGACAGTGATATTATCCTAGTGTTTGAATCCGCCACTGACACAATATCCAATCAATATTTGTATGTTTGCACTTCGTAGGTACAGTGATACATTTAACTTAAATTTTCTTGGCGATCAGGGTGATTTCTCCACAAAAAGACCTGGTAAGGACGAGATTAATGTATGCAGATAAATCAAGGAAACTAAAAGATTTGGATTGATGTTGTCTGTGAAACAGTCTAGGTATTCCATCGCCAGTTCATTTTCAAATGGGATACGTATGCTACAACAAATAACTCCCAGGTCACATAAAAGGCAATGAATTGACATGTATTTGTATTAACAATAAGAGCATTGTTACACGTCAGAATAAGGCTGCGGGATCAGCGTTGAGGATAAGCTGACACAGACGTGTCCAGAACTGGGTGTGTTCCTCAACGTCCAGAATGTATTCCTCTGAACCACATTGAGGAGAAGATGAGGAACTGGGGCTCCCGCTGCAAAGGACATATCCCTGTACAGAAGAAGGACCCGGTCCGTGATAGCGTTGTTCACAGACATCAGTCTGACAGTAGACAGAACAGTAAAGTGTATCCATTCGTCTCTCAGGAAGTTCTCTGTAAGCACGATAACAATCTTCCAGCTTCTCGGCAAAGTATCAATGGTCACTTCAGCCTGGGAACACCCTACAGGGTCATGTAAGTCGGGCAGGTACAGTTTTATACCAGAGGAGACTTTTTGGAGCTGCTTGAAGAGATAATGACATGGCCATTGATACACAGCACTTTCATAGCATATGTAGGTATCATAATCGAAATCCTCCCTTTGTGGTCGGCGTCCTGGATTAAAACTAAGCATGTGTAATACGTGGGGTTTCTATTTTGGGGAAATATTTCTTGAAGAGAAATCGAACCCGGGTCTTTGGCGTGACGAGCGAACGCTTCAACCACTAGGCTACCCAATCGCCCCGCCCCTTGTTAAGAAGTTATCGTATGACACATGATATCACGTACCAGTAGATTTGGCCTAATAACGTGCAGATAAATGAAAACAAACCTGCTTCGGTGCTTGTTGTTTTAGAATTCAATTATATCAAATTTTGACAAGATATATCATTGTTTCTACAATAACAACCACGTCAAAAGCATGCAACATTGTAAGAAGTTGTCTTTTTGTTAAACTCCATTCAAATATCAACGTATATCTTAAATTTGCTTCATACACACCAAACGTTGAAGGCCGTATTTTCGGTTTGCTGTTTGTAATTTTTTTAATTCTAAGCATTTTGTTTCTTCCTTTTTGTTGAATAAAGTCACGTAATACCAAATCGTCTTCCTGCTTGAACACGCCATTCTCAATAACCCACTAGTTTGTATACCCCCGGGAATACAAGTGTTAGTTAGACGGTGAAGTAGTGGCTCATGTAAAATTAATGACATGAATCTGTTTAAAACACATGGAAGGAATCCCACTCTGTCTGAAGCTTTGTGAGAACCTGTTCGGTGTCTACCATTAAAGCAATGTCCAGAGCAGACACCCAGAAGACCATGTCTCTATACAAATGATGTCAGGCGACATACGGTTGCCGTCTGTGCTATGTAAGCTGAGCTCTTATTGGCCGCTGAAACCAGGTCTTTGTTTGATGACTTTGGCAACAGAGGAGTTACAGCATCAGTTCGCGGGTAATCGAGGAATGTAGCGCATACAACCTCCTAAAGTATTGGCAGGATAGAATTTCCCTTGTGTACTCAATATATGAGTGAATACACCAATTAGAGCTTACACTCACCAATCATTTTAATTTACAGGAAGAATACCAGGAGATCGAAAAAGGGGGAAGCGTTTCTAAATTGGTTCCACTGTTTGTGTGCGACGCAAGCTTATCGCTTTTAACCAACAGGCGGTGGCTGAAAAATGGTTCAAATCTGTACCATGTCCGGTTACGAGTGAGCAAGAGTAGCGTCCTTGTATCACTTTCAACATCACTATGCAAGCTATCTATTTGTCGTGGAGATAATAAGTATAGCAACCTTCTCTGCTGATGCTACTTGTTGCGAGAGCTATTTTACCATCACAAACAAACTAAATATAGATATAAACAACAGATCATGTCCGCATTCAAAAGTAACCTCTGCCAAAAGCAGATTCGATTAAGACGCATTTTGTTTACTTTCAGTAGCTCTAATTGAGGATAAACCAGCACTTTCTGTAGCCAACGTTGTGAGTGACGTTTAATTATTAAGAACTTGACATCCATATATTCTCTTCCTTAACTATGATCTACATGAAATCTCCTTATCATCCCATTTTGGATACCATAAGTACACTCAGAACACTAGAGATGAATCAGTGCATTCTCATCTCCCTGATGAGTATACAACCTAAGTTGACTGAGGAGCTTGAAAGTTAACAGTTATATTAAGGTTAACATTACCATCTCATTCTACCGGAGACCCATTAACTGCTGGATGAAAAAGGCATGTGAATCAAGACACACTTGCCTAAGCCTGCACAATGTACTTCAGGAGTCAAGCTGCCGAACGCAATCACCCATCCAACTACTCTCCGCCACCAACGTTGCTTAACTTCAGTTGGTTTGTGACCTGTACGCTGTCCACAAGACCATGTGCCACCTTAATGCATTGTATGTTCGTCGCGGTTATCAATTCTTATTTCGACCGTGACGTTGCTCTATTGTTTGAAGCCGTCACTGACACAATATCCAAGCAGAATTTGCTTGTTTTGCACTTCGTAGGTACAGTGATGCATTTTATAAGAATTTCCTTTGCGACCACAGTGATCTCTCTGTTAAGAAAAACGGTAAGGTCAGGATTAAATTTTACAGAACGGTTAAGAGTGAGTGAGTGAGTGAGTATGGTTTTACGCCGCTTTTAGCAATATTCCAGCAATATCACGGCGGGGGACACCAGAAATGGGCTTCAAGAAAGGTTAAGAAAACTGAACGATGTTGATTGTAAAACGTTTATTAAAGTGTCACATGTACAACATGTACAATATAAAATTGACGCATAGCACAAAAGGTGTATGGAGTGCGTCCAGCCAGACAAAGACACTATATACAACATAAACAAAATATATACATACATATAATGTGAGAGGTTGAAAATCTAGCTACGAATTCAGAAGACTCACAGGACACAATAAAGAACGAGAGAGCAAATTAAATAATCATGGTGACAACTGTCGTCTCTTAAACATTTTCAAAGGCGTTGCGGCAAGCAACTTTGGTAAAACGTTTGAATTCATTAAATGAATAAATTTCTCTTCTTCGCATATCACATTAAACTTCAGGTGTTTTTTTTCATCTGCGCAATATAAATCATACCGGAAATGATCATAAAACTGCTTTGTAGTAAAAAGTGACATTTATCTCCCACCAAATCACAATCGCAATATTTACATAACCTTTTCGATAGAAGGTTTGGAACATCGACCTGTCTCAACAAACAAAGTGAGTGAGTGAGTGAGTTGGGTTTAACGCCGCTTTTAACAGTATTCCAGTTATATCACGGCGTGTCAGCTTAATGTGGGAGGAAAGCCCGAAGTGATGCAGGTCTCAGACGTTTTCCACTTTGGTGAAATCCTCGAGCACGGGTATGGTGCTGACAAACCTAGAAAAACATAATTTGGGCGAACCCGGATTCGAACCCTCAATCATAGGTTTCTGGCGTGCCCAAGGGACGCAACTCTGCACAGCGAATCGCGGCGCCTTTGACGACTTGGCCACCCGTGCCCCCCTCAACAAACAAAGGTAAAATTCACCATCTAAACTTGGCTAAAAGACGGCGGTGGTCTCTATACATAATATTTTTAACATAGAATTCAACAACAGGTGTAAACTTAAATTTTCTGCAAGTACTTAACTTATTTCCATTTACATTACACTTAACATTCCAAAACGAAGTGTGAAAATTAACTACGTCATCCTGAAATAAAACGTTTTTAATATACCAAAAAACAGCATTTAACACCCAATCTGATGTCGAGTAAGAAGTGGTAAAACATCCAAACAATCGGTGAATAATATCAGGCAGAAGCTCTTGCTCCATAGATATAAGTCTGAAACATTCTGTTTTCTGAGTAACAGTAACTGAGCACCAGCCCATATCCCCTCTACTTGCAAGAACAGGTGCATGTTTACTTAAACCAAGATACATTCAGGCAGCCTTATTTTGCACAACGTCAGCTTCTTCAAAACTATGAAAGACCTATATAATGGCACCATAAAACAAAACTGGTTGTACCAGCGATTTATACAACTTCGTAAAAACATAATGTGACATTCCAACACCATAAATATACTTAGTGTACAGAGCAGATAACGCTCTACTAGCACACTAACAAAGCTCTTTCAAAAGCTTGTGCATGTCTAAATATTCTTTTAAACACAATCCTAAATGACGACGAGCGCTGTCATAAGAAATGTGAGTATTGTAACAAGAAGACATACAACAAGATCTAAAAATAGATTTTTTTCCCCGAAAACAGACAATTTCGATTTTTCTCATTAATACTAATACACCATTTTAAACACCAAGTACTTACAATATCTAACATATGTTGCAGATATTTTTTATTTTGAGCTAACAACGCATTATCATCAGCGTATAACAAAAATGGGTAACATTTCATTATCCAATGGTACACCCCATTTGAGAGTCGTTATCAACTTGGCAACATCATTTATATAGAGAGAAAATAGAGTTGGTGACAATTTGCAACCTTGCTCAGTACCCATGGAAACGTTAAAATAGTCTGTTATGTAGTCAATCACGCGTACTGCAACCTCACATCTTGATGTAGGGCTTCATTCACTCCTCAGGTATTGTGCAATGTTCAGTATAATAACCCTATGTTTACGAGAGTCTTTCAGCGTAGATTTAGCCTTCATAACTTCAGCTTTTGCTTCCAAAGAATCCATAGTTGCTCTGACCAAATGTCTAGGCCTCTTCCTTTCATTTTAACATTGTTTGCGTAGTTCCAGATCGTCAGGCAGAAGCTCCAACACCTTGTTTTTTGTCACTCGCGAATCCTTTTCCTCGTGCGTGTGAACATTCAGGTTCTTTATGACTACAGAATTGTCAACAGCATTATACATTTGTTTTCCTTTTATAACCCTCAGTATATTTGTTGGAAATCTTGTACCTTTTTTTCATATGCTTCGAACTTTCAGTCAATTTCCTCATGAACAGAACTAATCTCACTTTTGACATTCTCGTAAAGATATAAAATATATTGTATTAAACATGAAATGTTCAACTTTAGAATAAGGCTGCGGGATCAGCGTTGTGGATACGCTGACACAGATGTGTCCAGAACTGGGGGTGTTCCTCCACGTCCAGAATGAGTTCCTCTGAAACCACGTTGAGGAGAAGACGAGGAACTCGAGCTCTCGCTGCCAAGGACATATCCCTGTACAGAAGCAGGACCCGGTCCGCGATTGCGTTGTTCACGGACATCAGTCTGACAGTAGACAGAACAGTAAAGTGTATCCATTCGTCTCTCAGGAAGTTCTCTGTCAGCACGATAACAATCTTCCAGCTTCTCGACAAAGCATCAATGGTCACTTCAGCCTGGGAACACCCTGCAGGGTCATGTAAGTCGGGCAGGTACAGTCTTATACCAGGGGAGACTTTGGGGAGCTCCTTGAAGAGACAGTGACATGGCCATTGATACTCAGCATTTTCATAGCATATGTAGGCATCATAATCAAAATCCTCCCTTTGTGGTCGGCGTCTTGGGTTATAACCAAGCATATCCAATACATGGTGTTCTATTTTGGGGAAATATTTCTTGAAAAGAAATGCTACAAGTAAAGACAACAGTGCAATCAAGTTCCCAACTATGGCCACCGCCAACCAGAACTGACCAACACATGTTCTCCAATGAAATGTCCTGCTTGCATAAAAGGTAGCTGTATCAGACAACGTTCCATCACCAAGGATGCAGCTGTAGTTACCATGGTGATCTAAAGTGACATCAGTTTCCAGTAACCATTGTATAAAGTGGAGAGTTCCACAGCTGCAGCTGAAGATGTTGCCTGTTAGGTAGAGGTAGAACGAACCGTTATTCACAACAAAGTCATCGAGCATTGTCTGTTGCTGTTTACTGATGACTGACAGGGAATTCGATGTCATATCCAAATGTTTGAGCCTAGCCATCATCAGGATTTCTTCTGGTACGTCATCCAGTCGATTTCGTGCAAGAGAAAGGTTTTCCAATTTGTTAAAGTTTCTCAATGTATTTTGTTGATAAGCTGTAGATTATTGCCTGACAAATCGAGTCTTGTTAGTTTTGGCATGACATGGAAAAAAGGTTCAGATGGGGACACAAACATGTCTTCATCTGACGTCACATCGTGAACAAGCAATATTTGGAGATTCGTCACCATGTTGGTGTTGTTGAATACATTCTGACTGATCTTCATATGGGATATGTCCAAGAGTTTCAGGTTTTTACAGCATTCTAAATATGACGGAATGTCTAAAAGATCATTTCTAGAGAAATCTAACACAGATAGATGATCGCTTTGTGTCAGTGTTAAACTGATATACAAATAGTTAGAACTGAAACATCTGCTGAGGTTTAAATAACTTAGATTAGGAGGTATGGGAAAATACACACCTCCTCGTTTTGTGGTATTATATTTGTTACTGTGAGAAAAGCTCAATTTTGTACCCCGAGACAAATCCAGATATTTCAGATTTACCATCATGTACATATTTTTTGCAGCAGGGGGCAATTTCCCATTCAACAAGTTTTGAGACAAGTCTAGATATTCGATACATCTGAAGAAAGTCGAATTGGTTATGGCATTATCATTAACTTGTGTAATCTTATTATGAGACATGTCTAGCTTTTTCACACATATATCTGCAAGATAACCGAACATCTCCTCTGTTAGAGTCACACTGCTTTCTCCTGTGGTAACAACTCGAGACAGTATTATTTCCTCCATATGTCTTCCAGCCAAACACTGAAGAGCTCTTGTTATGGAGACGAACTTGGTCGTGCTTCCATGCGGGAGGCCAATTAGCAAATTGGTTAGGTTCTTAAAAGGTCAAAATGCTCCTGCTTCTATATTTCTAACAACACCGTTGAAATTTAATATTTTAAGTGGAATATCACGCAAAGCTTGAAAGGTTGTGTTTCCAATAACAGGTATACCTATGGTATTGATATTCAGAAGTGTGAGGGTGTCTTTCAACTGTTCTAGTTGAGGCCATTTTCCGTCTTTAGGCCAGGAGTTAATACGAAGCTCTTCTAGACTTTTTAGACCTTGGACGATATCAGTAGGGAATTGTCCTTCGTTATTTATACTTCCTAACAGAACCAATTGCCTCAGACTAACCAAATACTGGAACAGTCCATCTGGGTATGTTGTCGTGTCCAATGAAAGCGTGTCACAAGACATTTCCAAGACTTCCAGTTTACCAAGACCTTTGAAAGCATTTCTCTGCAGTATCTTTAGCGGATTGGCACTCAGATAAAGGAATCTGAGGTTACTTAAAGTGCTAAAACTGTTGTTATATATTCGGGTGAGAAGATTATCTTGTAAATCCAAACCTACAATGTCCTTTGGAAGATCTGATGGCATTTGAGTGAGATTCTGTCTTTGACAGTCGGTGACGTTACCCTGGTAGGCTGCACTATAACTGGTGTGACAGCCACTGACAGAGATGCATGTTGCATCCGTCATCAGCAGGAGAAACATAAACATTTCCACGTGCATTATTTCTGAAACACAATGACAGCACATCAAGAGGAAGAAAGTTAACTGTATAGACACATTTATTATGGATTAATGATTAATTTGACTTAAGATCACGTTAAAACTTGCATGTTAAGGGAGTGAGCGAGTTGGGTTTAAGGCCGCTTTGAACAGTCTTACAGCTATATAATGGCGTGTCAGCTTGATGTGGTGATTGGAACCCATGATCATTGTTTTTGTAGGTGTTTTTGTTTGTTTGTTGCTTAGCACCGCACTCAGAAATAGTCCAGCTATAGTCCAGCTATATGATGTCGGTCTGTAAATAATCGAGTCGGGACCAGACAACCCTGTGATTGTTTTGGGGTGTCACAAAGGGACTCAACTCAATTGCGATGCCTCAGACGACTGCATGTTACATGTTGCACGTTGCATGTTAAGAAGTTACATGATCACATAAAATACCAATCAAAACAAATAACATTGAACTGAGCTTGTGAAAAACTTGCAGATAAACGAAAACAAATTTTGTCAGTGATTGTTTTCTAAAATTTAATGATTTAAAATTCTGACAAGAAATACCATTATTACAAAATTGTTAAAATTTAAAAAAAATCACACAAACATTACACGTTGTTAGGATTCGCCTACTGATTTTAACGTATTTCCAATATCAACGAATATATCTAAAATTTACTTCGTGCTAAACAAACTTAGTTTTTATTTGATATTCACATTCTTTTAATTCTATATGTTTCGGTATCCTTTTTGTTTAATAAAGTCAAACGTTATAAAATTGCCTTCCTTCTGGAACCGCTTCACCATCAATACACCACTGGTTTGTATGACCTGTTAAAATCCGGTGTGTCTTTATATAATTCAAGGGAATTCAAAACATAAACGCTTGAGAAGATATTCTACAAATGCTGTCAAGCGAGAAACATTTCTCTTTTGCTATGTAAGTTGAGCGCCCATCGTTCGCACCTGAAACCAGGTCACATAACAACTTGACGGGTGCTCGATTAATGTTGCCCATACAAAACTCTTAAGAGTTGTAAGAATAGATCTTCTCAAGGCATGCTGGTCAACTCATGTGTTTTCCCCGCAATACACCAAAATATACTAGCGTGACCTTCAATATACTTGAGAAAATACACCAATTCAAACCTAGGATCACCAATCATTCTAAATTGACAGGAGTTCGTAAAATATTAGAGCATGTCCAGTATTTCTGTCTATCTCCGTCACTCAGTGTATCTGTCTTCCTGACTCTGTGTCTCTCTGTACCTACATGTGGCTGTCTCTCACTTCAAATATTTCGTACGATCTCTTATGTTGCTTTATAACATGTTACGTATATTACGTTACGAGCTGATGTTCATCACACTGATGTACTACGCAATTAGGGCACATATATTTGACACAGACACATGCATATACACTCACTGATACAGCGTACAGGTAACTGGCTATTTAGCTCTCTTTGTCTACCTATTAATGAATAATGAGTTTTGGTAAAAATCGTGACCTTTTACTTAATATCTATATCATCATTACCAAAACATGTTCAAATGATTTTTCATATAAATATCGTTTAGATGAGCAAACACTAACCTAATGTTTAGTAAATATATCATTTGTCTACTTACCAAACTTGTCCAGTATTTCAGACGGATAATTATCATGATAATAGGCATCACTAGGTGATCATGGTTCCAGGAATGCTGACTTGTTTGTCTGATTGGCTAATGATGTCGGCTAAAGAATATCACGCTGAAAATAACACCACAATGTTTGAGGTCATGCTTGGAGACAGGATAGACAGGATAGACACGAGTCTCGTCAACTGGCTCGGCTAATATACAATGAAATGTTTGAAAGGGTGTGTGAAGGAAATACGATCTGTACCTGTAGTAAGTAGATATTTTATCGTTTGTTGAATGTCGATATGACATGGACTTAGCTTATGTGTAACAATGACGGTGTATGTGTTGGTGGTCATGAATGTATGTACACGATATTTAAGGGTGGAGCCCGTGACAAATATAACACCCGACACTATAATTAAGACACCGGAGAAGATATTTGGAACAACAACTTTACCCAAGACCAGATAATCCAGTGATTAATATCATGAGCATCGATCCACGCAATTGGGATTGATGACATGCATCGACCAAGTCAGCAAGCCTGACCACCCGATCTCAGTAGTCGCGTCTTACGACAAGCATAGTCGCCTTTTACAGCGAGCATGGTTGCTGAAGACCTGTTCTTCCCCGGATCTTCACGGGTCAAGACGAAAATGAAGGGATATTTAAAGCGAAAGGGTATCCCCTGTCTCCCTTAATTAGACCAAGGCTTCCTGTGCTGGACGTGTGATTCGTACTCTCACTATCTCTACCTGAATGAACTACAAGATCTGGTCAGTGATTATAACCACATTATACGTTAGTCGAACCTTCGCCTCCTGATATTAATAAAAACAAAAGCGAGAAAAAGAAAAATGAAGTTGTATGGAAAAGACAGTAAATTGATCTTTTCGTGAAATCTAAAACTCTGAAGCCAAAAGCTAAGCAAAGAAGAAAGTAGACAAATCAGTTGAAACTATGTGGAGGATGGAGAATATTCTGGCATGGACACGCTTTGCCCTTTTGTGAATATCTAGTGACATCACTGATTTTCAGTGATTCATTCATGTAATGTTCACCTTTCTTTTGCCTTGATGCCAAATGGAATCTATTTAGGTGGGTAATATTGAGACTGGTTATTCTCTGGCGTGGTCATTTTAATTTGTGTAGTGATTGGAGATTTGAATGCAAGATATTTGGACTGATCCAGCCGTTGTAGAGGATTTATTCTTGAATATCTAAACGGTCTTGGTAACAGTTTATGTGGATTTTCATCAGACGATTTCACATTAAAGGAAACTGACAGACTGCGAATGAACCAGAACAAATAGATCCAGGAGAAGGCGGCTGTTTCAAATGCCATAGTCAACTACCGTAAGATTCAAACATTAGTTCCCTGAGAATGGTAATTGTAATATTAGGATTTCCCGACATTCCGCAGTAATAAAGTAGTATGCCTCGGCTTAATATTTCACATTCATGAAATGAATGCAATAACACGTGACCAAATCTAGCTAATCAGAATGCAGAAATTACTAGGAACACAACAAAAAATTAATATTAGCACATTACAACCTACAGATGACAATGCTTCTGGCTCTGATAATGTCATAGCGGAGTTTACTTTGTAAATGTTAAGCAGCCATGCTATATTGTGAACTTATTTTCAATATTCTGTTTTGAAAGATCCTATTTTCTTGGGAATTTGATGACTGGTTCTTGTTTCGATTTACAAACAGGTGGCCGCAAATGTTGTAAATAGTTATTGTGGAATAACTCTTCTTACAATGTTTAGTAAATTATTTACAGACATCGTCAAGAAGAGGTTTGTAGTCCAGGCAGATACCTTCGAAAATATGTGTGTCACAAGCTGGGTTTTGAAAGGGTATTCTACAAATGGCGACGGTATAATCCTAACCCTACTAAAATACAGAGATATTTATCAGTAAAGGGAAATAATGTAGTTGACTCTGTGAAAAGAATCAATATGTGATAACTTTATCAAAGACATTTTGGAAAATAAATTATTTTGTATGTGTGAAATAATGAGAGGCTAGGTTTTCGAAGTATATCAGAAATGTTTATAGGCAACATCGGTGTCCGCCAGTGATGTATACTATGTCCTTTCTATTTCCATTTTTCATGAATGAATTAGAATATCAAATTCATAGTAATTGCATAGATAGTAATTAATAACACCTCGAAGCTATTATATTGTTTTGCCTCTCCTTTCGGGTGGCATAGGATATGGTCTCGAGCACGATACCTTGTTTACAAAGGTAAATACATGCATGAGAACGTTATAGTGAAGAAGCGAAACCTACTGTCCATACAGAAAGAAACCAATGTAGTAGTCCTTGAAAGTGGTGCTAACTCATATAGAAAGAGAAATGGTAATCTATTTTGGAGCGTCAACTTTGGAAATTGTTGTATATACCTGGACATTTGGGACTTAGACAGTTTTGATGTTATTGAAAATAGGTACGCTTATTCACAAGTATAAAAGGGTTTGACTGTTAAACCTAGTACTCAAATTGCAGTGGTAGATGGCAAATGTGGAAGGTTGTCGATGTATGCATGAGGTTGTTTACACTACATACTGGGTCAACATATTAAATGTACAAGATATTCATATGTCATAAAACAAAGATTATGTGTGGTGAATTGCAACACATTGTACCAGGCCTTCGCCCTCATCAAAAACACGAAAACATATTGACTGTCAATGACGGCCGTCTGTAAATAATCGAGTCTGGAACAAACAATCCATTGATTGACATTATGAGCATCGATCTACGCTTTTGGAATACGATGACATGCATCACGTCAGCGAGCTTGACCACCCGATACTGTTCGTATGCTCTTAGGACACGCATGTGTTGCTGAAGATTTTAACCCGGATCTTCATGGGGTTCAATGACAATATTTACTCATAATGTCAGGTGAGATCTGACCTTCTTATGCCTGACCAATCAACTGAATACGTTTTGTGGTCCATAACAAATCTGTAGTCAGTTTGATTATAGTTACAGGATCGTTGGTCCCCATAATATGATCAGTTTGTGACGTCATGCCTATATTCTTATTTCCATTCCATTATTTGTCAGAGTTATTGTCTCAAAAGTAGCGCAGTCACATTGAAATTCGGATCGGTATTGTTTGAAGTTAAAATTAGAGAAATCAGTGGTTTGTTATCCAATGCACAGGTTCAATGCCAACGGTCTGATATTACGTTCATATTACATGTAAAACCCGTGACAGGACAGCATTACGACGCCAGCGAGGTTCAACCTCTCGTGAAACATCATCGACGTTCTTCTTGCAGAAGATGGACCACTTAATAGGGCACATGGGAGGAAGGTAAGCAGTATGAGCGGGAGATTTCAGCTGGAGGGGTTAGGACGCTCGGAAGCTTGATTCCAAGAAATTCCAGGTTCCGGTCGACAGAAAACACAGCTTCACAGTTTACAAAAATCATTTTGTTCACACATCGGCGTATGGGTACCCGGAAGGATGATATTGTCAACTGATTGATGTCTGCCATACAGCGTTGGTTGTAGACTTATGTGGAAGAGAAGAAATTTGCATCCTCACTGACCCACTGATGCGTGAACAGAAGTTATAACTCTTTGTGCTATATTAACCACAAGGTGTAAGAGACAGGTGGTGAAATGGTCAGTGTGTTCACTTCATTTAAATTGATGAGTTCATATCTGAAAGGTCAGGTCGGTACTTTGTTGTCATTTATAAAAAATCAGACTTCTTCATGATTTACACTTTATTACACCGAACACACACGTCAAACACTTCAATTCCGCTATGTATTCTGTATTAGTCATATCAACTGCAGACACACTACACAATCGAACTATATGCGTGTGCTATGTACATATACAGTTATGTCAACAGGTATAATGAGGTCTGCCTGGCACAGAGCGTGATGAATCAAACTTGATATCTTTTGTTGATTTAATGTACATAATGTTAGTATCGAATCGTATTTCGAAGTACTTTGCGACCCAAATTGTACCGTCAATGCGAAAAGTGCGAAAGTGTTAATGAATGAACGTGCCTAAACGAGCAGATCACTCGAACAGGACATTTTGGATACCAATCATAAGAACACTCCATGAAAGTGTGTCTGACTCAAAAGTGTGCAGCCTAAATATAAGGTATAAAGGTCTGTTGGTCATGGAAGGTCGATGGGCATTGTTACGTGTCGATTCCCAGATTGAAACGACACGTTAATCCAGAAAACTGAAGCTAAAAGACAACCAACCAACAAACAACAAGTGGTATACAATCAACCAATGAATTATAGAATTAACTTCGTTTACATATCTATACAAATTTCAGCACAGCAATTACAATGGCAGAAAACAAAAGAGTGGATGTCCAATGTTCAATGTCAATAACTAGCATGATAGAAAATTACAGTGGTGATGGAAAAAGTCAGTGATACTAATACATATTCACCCAACGGCCACGGTGGACAAGTTTCCAAGATGGGCTAGGCAGGGAATCGGGGATGATGAGCAATCCTGACATGAAAGCTGGTGCGAGACGAGATGAAATGCACGCGAGACGAAATGTGTGAGATCCAAAAGTGTGAGAGATGCGTAAACACGCTACTGTCCCCTTATGTACAGTCAAATTCGCTTCCTAAACAGCTAAACACCACAGAATATTTCATACCAGGTCACGGTAAACCGGAAGTTTACACACAACACTAGTATCTAAATCTAGTAGCTTCCTGACGACTGCTTAGATTAAATAGTACTACATTCCTGAGGACTAATCACTGCCGAAATACATTGCAATTAGCGGCTACCGAATCTCTACAGAAACGAGGTAAAACTACTGTTAAACAAAAATACACTGCAATATAACAGCGTGATGAAATTAACTACATAAGACTTGTAACATGTAAATTATGCAAGTACCGTTTCGTGTCCCGAGATACTCAGGTAACCGCGACACTGCCGTCAGTGTAAAAGCCGTCAAAATGTGTCTGACTCAAAAGTGTGCAGCCCAAGATGAATCTTGAATCCCCCATCCACTCTTCTAATGATACATCATGTCCCCCAACGCGGTCACCAATTCAACTTCTTCCTACTAACGGTGCTTACTTTCACCTGGTTTGTGATCTGTACGCTCTCCACAGGACCACTTGCCATCTTAATATATTGTATGTTCGTCGCGGTTAACCAATCTTATTATGACAGTGACGTTATCCTAAGGTTTGAAGCCGGCACTGACACAATATCCAAGCAGAATTTGTGTGTTTGCACTTCGTAGGTACTGTCATACACTTAACATGAATTTCCTTGACGATCACAGTGAATTCTCCACAAAAAGACCCTGTAACGACGGGATTAAATTATGCAGATAAATCAAGAAAACTGAAAGATGTTGATTGATGTTGTCTGCGAAACATTTTAAGTGTTCCATCGCCAGTTCATTTCCAAATGGGATACGTATGTTGCAACTCCAATGTCATATGAAAGACATTTTTTATAGTTGATATATGTCAGGTATTTGTGATTACCATCAGAGAAAGGTCACACTTCAGAATAAGGCTGCGGGATCAGCGTTGAGGATACGCTGACACAGATGTGTCCAGAACTGGGGGTGTTCCTCCACGTCCAGAATATGTTCCTCTGAAACCACGTTGAGGAGAAGATGAGGAACTCGAGCTCTCGCTGCCAAGGACATATCCCTGTACAGAAGCAGGACCCGGTCCGTGATTGCGTTGTTCACGGACATCAGTCTGACAGTAGACAGAACAGTAAAGTGTATCCATTCGTCTCTCAGGAAGTTCTCTGTAAGCACGATAACAATCTTCCAGCTTCTCGACAAAGCATCAATGGTCACTTCAGCCCGAGAACATCCTACAGGGTCATGTAAGTCGGGCAGGTACAGTCTTATACCAGGGGAGACTTTGGGGAGCTCCTTGAAGAGACAATGACATGGCCAATAATACTCAGCACTTTCATAGCATATGTAGGCATCATAATCAAAATCCTCCCTTTGTGGTCGGCGTCTTGGATTATAACCAAGCATATGTAATACATGGTGTTCTATTTTGGGGAAATATTTCTTGAAAAGAAAAGCTGCAAATAGAGACAACATCGCGATCAAGTTTCCAACTATGGCAGCCGCCAACCAGAACTGACCAACACATGTTCTCCACTGAAATGTCCTACTTGCATAAAAGGTAGCTGTATCAGACAACGTTCCATCACCAAGGATGCAGCTGTAGTTGCCATGGTGATCTAAAGTGACATCAGTTTCCAGTAACCATTGTATGAAGTGAAGAGTTCCACAGCTGCAGCTGAAGATATTGCCTGTTAGGTAGAGGTAGAACGATCCGTTATTCACAACAAAGTCATCGAGCATTGTCTGTTGCTGTTTACTGATGACTAACAGGGAATTCGATGTCATATCCAAATGTTTAAGCCTAGCCATCATAAGGATTTCTTCTGGTACGTCATCCAGTCGGTTTCGTGCAAGAGAAATGATTTCCAATTTGTTAAATTTTCTCAATGTATTTTTGTTGATAAGCTGCAGATTATTGCCTGATAAATCGAGTCTTTTAAGTTTGGGCATGACATTGAAAAAAGGTTCAGATGGGGACACAAACATGTCTTCATCTGACGTCACATCGTGAACAAGCAATGTTTGGAGATTCGTCACCATGTTGGTGTTGTTGAAAACATTCTGACTGATCTTCATATGGGATATGTCCAAGAGTTTCAGGTTTTTACAACATTCCAAATATGACGGAATGTCTAACTTATCATTTCTAGAGAAATCTAACACAGATAGATGATCGCTTTGTGTCAGTGTTAAACTAATATACACATGGTTAGCAATGGAAGATCTGCTGAGGTTTACATAACTTAGATTAGGAGGTATGGGAAAATATAACCCCCCTCGTTTTGTGGTATCATATTTGTGGCTGATAGAAAAGCTCAATTGGTTATTCTGAGACACATCGAGATATTTCAGATTTTCCATGATGTACGTGTCTCTTAATGTAGGCATCATCATCTCAATTATGTTTTTGGACAAGTCCAGATATTCGAGACATCTGAATAAGGTGGAACTGGTTATGGCATTTGTTTGAATCGAAATAATCTTATTGTTAGACAAGTCTAGCTTTTTCACACATATATCTGCAAGATAACCGAACATCTCCTCTGTTAGAGTCACACAACTTTCTCCTGTGGTAACAACTCGAGTCAGTATTATTTCCTCCATATTTCTTCCAGCTAAACACTGAAGGGCTCTTGTTATGGAGACGAACTTGGTCGTGCTTCCATGCGATTGAGAAAGAACCAGCTTGGTTAGGTTCTTAAAAGGGCAAAATACTCCTGGTTCTAGTTTTGTTAGAACACCATTAAGATTAAATATTTTAAGTGGGATATCCCGCAAAGCTTGAAAGGATGTGTTTCCAAGAACAGGTGTACCAATGGTTTGGATATTCAGAAGTGTGAGGGTGTCTTTCAACTGTTCTAGTTGAGGCCATTTTCCGTCTTTAGGCCAGGAGTTAATCTGAAGCTGTTCTAGGCTGTGTAGACCTTGTACAATGTCAGTAGGAAATTGTCCTTCGTTATTTATACTTCCTAACAGAACCAACTGCCTCAGACTAACCAAATACTGGAACAGTCCATCTGGGTATGTTGTCTTGTCCAATGAAAGCGTGTCACAATTCATTTCCAAGACTTCCAGTTTACCAAGACCCTTGAAGGCATCTCTCTGCAATTTCTTTAACGGATTGGCACTCAGATAAAGGAATCTCAGGTCACGTAAAGCGCTAAAACTGTTGTTGGATATTCGGGTGAGAAGATTATCTTGTAAATCCAAACCTACAATGTCCTTTGGAAGATCTGATGGCACTTGAGTGAGATTCTGTCTTTGACAGTCGGTGACGTTACCCTGGTAGGCTGCACTAAAACTGGTGTGACAGCCACTGACAGAGATGCATGTTGCATCCGTCATCAGCAGGAGAAACATCAACATTTCCACGTGCATTATTTCTGAAACACAATGACAGCACATCAAGAGGAAGAAAGTTAACTGTATGGACACATTTATTATGGATTAATGAATTAATTTGACTTTAGATCACGTTAAAACTTGCATGTTGCATCCGTCATCAGAAGGAGAAATATAAATATTTCGACGTGCATTGTTTCTGAAACACAATAACAGTTGACACAGCCACACAGAATATTTGTATAAATCCATGAATTCTGATTCTGGAATAATTCAAAAAACGTAGGAAGGCACCTCGCTGTTTGACATTTGTAAAAGTTTCGAAATAATACCAATCAAATCAAACAGTTTTGAGTAGAACTGACCAAAACATTTGCAGATAAATAATAAACAAAGCTGTTTCTGTCTATTTTCATGGTATAAAATGTAATATAAATACCTTTGTTTCCAGCATCTGCAAGTGCCGCGTCAAACATATAAGGGTGTTAGGATTTGTCAACTGTTTCAGACGACTTGCAACTTATACTTTGAAAAAACATCGTACTTACCAAACGTAAACTGCCACCTTTGCCGTATGATTTGTGTCAACATTCTGTTCCCCTTACTCATTTCCTTTCCTCCTTTCCCTTTATAGTGTCACGTGTTACTAAAGCATAATACTTCTTAAACTGCCTTATATAAACAGTCGCCTGTTTTCCTTATAATAAACAGTGTATGAGTGGATTGGCTCAACCAGGATCAACCAACATGATGACATCTTTTGATTCAATGTAAGACGAATCAAGGTCTGAAAGAAGCCTTGAAGATACAAGTATTCATTTCAGTGAACTTGTAGACCTTCTCTTCAGTCTATAGGGGTTATTTCCTCATGTTTTTATGACGCTGCTTGTCACTGATTTCTTCCTTCTACTGAACTGATTTATAACTTCAGTTTGTATTCCTTCAACACACTGTTTCCTCATAACGGTTATAAGCTAACAAAGCTAACAAAGGGGTAAACCTGTGCACAAAGACATTTAATTCTCCAATTGTTGTCCCATATCCTTCAGTGAGTGGCTGAGGTGTAACACGGCTTTGAACAATATCCCAGTGATATAAGGGTGTGTCAGCTCACTGAGAACGGAAAGTCCGAAATGATGCATGTATTTGACGTTTACCACTTTGGGGAAACCCACGAGTACGGAAGACACTACATCGAGCCCATGATGTGATAAGGGACGCAACTCATCACGACGAACACGGCTTTGGTTACCCATGCATCCATTAATAAAAGAAAAGTCTTGCTTGTCAAACAATTATAGTTGTATTGGGCCTTCCGATTGCTTTCAGAAGAGTTGTGGCATAATTTTGAAGCCTTTTCAACCTCACCAAAGAATGTTCCAGACAAATATATTTTCTTTTCTAGTCGCTAAAGTAACCGTCGGAGAACGACAGCGTATTTCATCTAGGTACTATGACTGTAAAAGGTAATGTTTTGTTTGGTTGGTTGGTTGTTATTCTCAGCAATATTCCAGCTAAACCAATGTCCAAAAGAAACGATACCACGTGTTTGAAAGGACATTACAAAAAAACTAAACGATACAGACATATCAAATACAATTTGGTATATGACTTGTGAGTAATGTTTTCACAGTATGTGTACACAAATTAATTGTAATCAATCCCTTACAATCATGAGGACAGACATGTAAAGACGCGGGGGGGGGGGGGGGGGGGGGGGGGGGCAAAATGAAAATTTCATTTGAACACAGTTGATGAGACACACGTCTCAAAGTCACGTTAGTACCGGGTACGTCCACCGTGAGCGTCAATGCACGCTAGTACACGTCTACGGGCTGATGACGTTGGGGGGGGGGGGGGGGGGGGGGGGGGGGGTGCGTTGCCATTCACGGAGGAGGCATTGTTCCAACTCCTGGAGGTTAACTGGAGGCACAGGGCGATTCCTGACTTTGCGGCCGAGAATGTCCCGCATGTGTTCGATTGGGTTCATATCCGGTGAACATGCCGGCCATGGTAAAACGTGAATGTTGGCGTTTGCTGGGAAGTTCTGGGTCAGCCTTGTCGTGTGAGGCCTGGCATTTTCGTGCTGGAAAATGATACCATTAGGCTGTTGTTAAATGAATGGCACCACAACTGGCTGTAAGATGTCATCACGATAACGCTGCGCATTCAGGTTTCCTCGAATAACGACGAGTGTCGTTTTGACGTCACCGCATATTCCACCCCAAACCATTAAACCTCCATATGGCCTGACTTGATCGATGCAGCTCGGTGCCAAACGTTCACCTACTCTTCGGTACACACGCTGCCGGCCGTCGTTCCTGAAGATGCAAAATCTGCTTTCGTCAGAAAACATGACACGTGCTCAGTTCCACCGTTGCCACCGTCGAAGTCGCCTGGCCCATATCCGTCTGTTGAGTCGGTGTTGAGGTGTCAGGAACGCTCCGCGGTAGGGGCGACGTGCTCGGATACCATGTGCCCTGAGTCTCCTGTACACGGTTTGTCGACTTATCACGTGTCCCAGTGCCGTCCGTGCCGTTAACGTCGCCGTTACGAAGCGGTTCCGAAGGTGAAGTACCCGGATGTGGCGGTCTTCAATAGGCGTGGTCACCCGTGGTCTCCCGGTTCTCGGTCTGTCTGCTGTTTGACGCTACCGCTCCATTAACCTGGTGACGGTTATGCGCGCGCATCCTAACCTTCTGGCGACGTCGCGGTGCGTAGCTCCCTGTTGGAGCATTCCTACGGCTCTCTCTCTCTCAATCGCTGTCAAACGTGGCATTTCTTTTGTGTGCTTTTTGTTGCTGTGATCCCAACGTGTCGGGTCAGCAGTTTTATACAGAAGACATGTACGTGCATTTCGTGTTACGGGACGGAATCTCATTTGGGCAAATTGTACGCTTTTTTCTCAATTGATCAAATGTTCCCGGTTTTATCGACCGAATACGTTTGGTTTGGAACGTAGGATACGCAAAAGTACCTTTTCAGACGAAAATTAACTCTTCATAATAAATTATTTAGAAAAATGTGTGGTATCGTTTCTTTTGGACATTAGTTTATATGACGGCGGTCTGGAAATAATCGAGTCTGGACAGACAATCCAGTGCTTGATATCATGAGCATCGTTCCAAGCAATTGAGATACGATGACATACAGCAACCAAGTCAACGAGTCTGACCACCCGATTCCGTTAGTCGCCTCTTACAAGGGTTTCTCAAGACCTATTATAACCCGGATTTTCACGTGTCGTAATAGGTAATGCCCCTCATTACCACAAAGATGGGTGTCCCGACACTCTTTGTCGGGGGCTTCACCAAAGTAGGAACACTACCCTGACCGGACCAGACATACAGTTCAATCACAACCGACTCACTCATTTGATGCATGTGACTGAAGTAACTCTGGAACATATAGTACAAGACAAAATAGGCAATTGGATCTGACATCATTATTGTCACTGATGCATCAAATTTGGAGATGTCCTCCACATATCTGCCACTCACTCACTTGTTGCACTGGAGTGAGTGAGTGTGAGTGAGTTGGGTTTAACGCCGCTTTTAACAGTATTCCAGTCATATCGCAGCGTGTCAGTCTAATGTGGGAGGAAAGCCCGAAGGGATGCAGGTCTCAGATATTTACCACTTGGGTGAAACCCACGAGCACGGGTATGGTGCTGACAAACCTAGAAACATAATCGGTGTGAACCGGGATTCGAACATCAATCATAGGTTTCTGGCGTGCCCAAGGGACGCAACTCTGCACAGCGAATCGCGGCACCTTAGACGACTGGGCCACCCGTGCCCCCTTTATTGCACTGGACCTGCATATTCAAATATTTAAATGTATGATTAAAGCCACATAATTATCGAAATATTTAGAATGGGATTAATGGTTTGGGCTGTCTTCAATCAAAGTTACACAAAACAACCCTTTGCAAAATCCTAAGGAAACATTTTCCTGTTATGTTAACGTAGACAGACTCAAATTACGGAACATGAGCGTATTTCCATTGCTGCTTTGAGAGGCACGTTATAAGCTCAACAAATACGATCCTTTCTGATATTGCATTTTCAATTGTGGTTTAACTTCTGACACCGAAATAAAGTTTGTTTTGATAGATATGTTTGATATAAAATAAAAGCGACAAAAACAATTTCATAATGATAAGAAATTTCATTGTACGATTCCGACTTTGCATCTGTTTCATGTTTCATAAGATAGTGATGCATTAACACATTTGTTTGATATACAGTAAACTACGGTTATAACGAACTCAAAGGGACCACTAACTTTTGTTCGTTATAACCGTAGTTCGTTATAAGCATATATACAGTATAACAATAGCAAATAGTCGGGACAAAAAAATCAGTTCGTTATATCCGTCAGTTCGTTATAAGCGTGTTCGTTATAAACGTACTTTACTTTAAAACATAGGGAACTGTACCTGACATAATTTTTGTCACGGATGCTTCAAATTGGGAAATATCCCCCACACCTGTACTGTAAAACATTTTGAAAGCTTTACAAAGGCCTTGAAAGTTGTATTACTGATGAAACAACTTTTGATTAAGATCATGCTCGGTTATACCTGAAACTTTGTGAAATGTTAACACCATAGGCTGGGGCTGCTGGAATATTGCTCGACAAGGGGAGAGTTGACTATTGGAAAGTTTGATACTTTGTGTCCTGCTCTATAAGACATGGATGGCCCCACCTAATCAACACAGCCCGTCGTATCCAGGTGCACAGTTGGGCTACTATAAAACTATAAAACAAACACTTCAGATCAACATGGATTGAGTGGCATCGACTTGGTAGAGCATGGTTGTGTAAATAAATTCTTCCTTGGACTTAATTCTCAATCTCACATCCAACGATGAACAAACTTTCCCACAGGGAACGAAAGTTTTACACAGTTGATATATAAGATATATTATATAAAAATATAGATGTATGCGTGTTTTTGTTTGTTTGTGTTTGCAGTTGTGTGTGATTTTTGTTTGTTTGTTTGTTTGTGTGTGTGTGTGTGTGTGTGTGTGTGTGTGTGTGTGTGTGTGTGTGTGTGTGTGTGTGTGTGTGTGTGTGTGTGTGTGTGTGTGTGTGTGTGTGTGTGTGTTCGTGTGTGTGTGTGTGTGTGTTCGTGTGTGTGTGTGTGCGTGTACAACTGTTTAAAAGATCCTGTTTTAGCGTGATAATTACCATGGCGAAACATGAACGATAGTATCATATATCACACATTCTTGGGAAGGGACACTCCTTAAACAAAAAGAACAATGATAAATGGATACGACAATCCGAGTATAAAGGCCCAAACCCTCCGTAAAAACAGGAAAACAGGTTTGTTGTTTAGATAATGTGGATAATTAGGGGGGGGGGGGGGGGGGGTATAGCAAATGTTGTCAGCTCGTAGGGCACGAAATATGATTTATTACCCCTGACAGACAAAATACCCGCACACTAACAACGAATGATTAACACACTGTGTCCCAGCAATAAATCACCACTGCCACTGGGTGCAGGTTTTATCTCACGGCTATCTACTCGGCTTCTTAGTGCTGGAAGTGCAAACTGGCGTGCTGGCGTACAAACTAAACATGGGGCAGGTTCAGGCGGCGTTCCTATCGGATTATTTTTTGCACTGGTACTCAAATCTCTGATACGGTTGTATGGCCTTACGGAAGCCGGTAAACCTTGACATGTCGTGTTTCGACACTCCTAACTGTGCGTACACAAGGAGCCACTTGTCCTTGAAACGGGTCGAAATGCACAGTGAATTCCCGTTTGAACTTTTCGGGACGATATTAATAAGGAAACTAGCGTTCAAATTATGTACAAACGTTATCTGAAATGTAACCATGTTAAAAAATACAATAACTCAAGATCGTGAATAACCTGATCCTTTTTATTTGAGTGTAAAGGTGGGATAGCCGAGTGGTTGGCTCCTTTAGGGCAGCGACCTGGGTTCCATTCCCAACACGGATACAAGATGTGGAGCTCATATCTGTCACATCCCCCTCCCTCCCCCACAGCCCTCCCTCACTCACTCTTCTAATGCACATCTGCTGTATCTTGCATGTATAAATAGTGTCCATATATCATAGATTAAGGCTTCAGTATAAAAAAACCCTACAGAAGTGGAAACTCATTTAAAATGTTTAGGGGCGTGCCGCTGTTATGAAATGCCCCAACACTTGACCCTGTAAGGTTGGAGTGCACAGTGGGTTATATCAACAGCAACTTGTATATTATTGGCGGAACCTTACATGGGATATGTTGTGCAGGTGTGCAGTTCTACATTTCCCTTAAAACAGCCAGACTGTCAATGAAGGATGAACCAACTGACTCTAAACCAACTGCAGATATACACCAGAATGTTTAAAGAAGTCGATCTGAATCATGATGGACGTTTAAACAAATCCGAGGTCAAAGGCTTGTGTGTGGAGTTGGGCTTTGACTATGATGACTCCCAGGTGAAGGTAAGACGCGACAATCTACCGTACGACAAACAAGTCATGACGACACGTGTCCAACTCATGTGTTGCTAGGAGTGAGTGAGTGAGTGAGTGAGTTGGGTTTATCGACGCTATTAACAGTGTTCCAGTTATATCACGGCGTGTCAGCTTAATATGGGAGGAAAGCCCGAAGTGATGAAGGTCTTAGACGTCTACCACCTCGGTGAAACCCATGAGCACGGGTATGGTGCTGACAAAGCTAGAAACATAATCGGGTAAAACCGGGATTCGAACCCACAATCATAGGTTTCTGGCTTGCCAAACGGACGCAACTCTGCAAAGCGACTGGGCCACCCTTGCCCCCCTGTGTTGCTAGGAACTGTGGCACACTTTACTTGGGAACACTGACTTACACTTGAGGACGTGAAGGTGTAATGACACGCCACTGAAGCGGAAGTTTGTTTGATTGTTTGTTTGTTGTTTAACGCCGGACTTAGCAATATCCCAGCCATATGACAGCGGTCGGTAAGTAATCGAGTCTGGACCAGACGATCCAGTGATCGACATCATGAACATCTATCCACGCAATTGAGATCGATGACATGCTTCAACCAAGTCAGGGAGCCTGACCACCCGACCGCGTTAGTCGCCTTTTACGGCAAGTATGGGTTGCTGAAGGCCTATGCTACCCCGGATTTTCACGGATCTGAAGCATAAGAAAATGTGTCAATGTCTTTTCTTCATGGATAATATCGTTATGGGGTGTTAACTTGTGTTTCCCGATTTTGTTTTTACGTTATTATAATACACAAGTTTGCTGTTATGTACTGAAATCGAATCTTCAACCAAGCAAGTGCCCCTTACGTTTGTATATAGAAAAACTATCGTAATAAACGTATACTTCCTGGTTTGACGTTCACTGTACACACGGTGTTATACATACTTTGTCAAGCCGCCGCCGCTACCGACTGCGCATGCCCATGCTGAAAACAAACAGGACCCGGAAGTAATTCAAACCAGCCAGTATTAGACTTTTAAATGTTCATCTGTTAGATACTTTTTAACAGTTCGCTGTACACAAATCTCATACTGCCACCATCCCTTTTATTAAAGTTTACTATTGCTGTGATATAAATACATATACTTTAAGATATCATTCCTTGTCGTCACTGTGATAGTGTGCATTTCTCTACATGTTTTACCCGACTTTATATTTGTAAGTGTCTTTTTTTCTTATGTACATAGTTTAATATGATACATTCTTTTCATATTTTAGTGCTAATCAACTGTGCAATATGAATTTCCATTGGGATAATTAAGTCTTATCTTATCTTATTTTATCTCTAAGCCCACTAGAACTGCCACATTTACAATATGGAAAACGATTAAAGTTCATGTAAGAGCTATTTGACATTTTTCTTTGGACAAGTTGACTGTGGTTTGGAGAGCATGTCAATAGAACAGCGTGACCACAACTTACTGAGCAAAAATCTCTGCATACATTTGATGGATCACAGTATTACGGTTATTCCTGGAAATTCAACATCAAATTTCATGCAACTTAACCACTGTGTTTGATGTTGTTGTTAGCCAAACTTATACCAGCAAGGAATTCCAGATATCAACCATTTGTTGTACTAAGACGTATAAATTTGAAATAAACAATAACATATTGCATATCATAATATTTTGTACTTCGAGAGTCTGTTATAACGGAAGCAAAAATGAAATGGATTCAGGAAATCACTGAATGTCTTGTCTCTATTTGTAGCAACTGTTTTCGGAGCTTGACAAGGATAAAAGTGGTGATGTGACCTTGGACGAGTTTCTTGCTGCTATGCAACCAATCAAAAAAGAGAAAAAACGGTAAAATGCCTGATGGATGCAGACCCATTGCTCATGCAAGATGTGTATGTACTTACATACATGGCACCGAATTGTGTTTAATATTTAGGAAGGCGCATTAACCAGTAAACATCCAAATCCTTTGCTTATTCAGAAGGTATCCGCCATAGCACATGTACTTTTGACATCAATATTACAAGAAAGCAGGTTTAAATGATGTTAGTGTTGTTTTCTATGTTTACATTGGCTATTTCAGAATTTGGGAGAATTATCTACAACAAAGTGCTTCACAGATGACTTCCGGGTCCCGTAACTGTGCTGATCGAACAAGATGATATGAAACCACGTGGTTGTTGTCATTAGACCGTTTAAAACAAAACGGTACCGAAAACAAAAATGAAACACGATAAAACAATCAGTTGTGGTGTCATATTTACCCGACAATTACAAATAAAGCGACAAAACCTTTACAATGTCCAATAGCAAAAGGAGAGAGTCGCATGTGTTTATGAATCACTATCAAATAGTGATGATACCAGGTGTTCGCGAAAAGATGAGCGTATCCTGCCCCACCGGTGGCACCGGTCACAAACACATGCAAACGCGCGACAATTGTTCGCCTGAAAAAAACACGGGTTCTAAAAATTGAAAAAGAGTTCTATTGAAAAATATATGAATCTGTTTTTGTACAATGACTTTCTACTGTAATACAAGCCGGATTATGCTTCTCATAAACTCCCCCATGGGGATCACTTGGCCCAAAACTACTTAATGACAAATGCGAATTTAGTGTTCTGGAGGCCCGGTGGTGTTTGTCGAGGGAGGATCCCAATGTCGTGTCTGCTTCACAATGGACTAAGTCCGGCTCGTGGCGGTTTGTTGAAATACCCAGCTCTCCTTCCTCTTCCAGATGCGCCACTTTCAGACGGATGTTTAGGAGGATGGACCTAAACAAAGATGGCTTTCTGTCGGTATCCGAGCTCCACCGGTCTCTGTCGTCTGCTGTGAATGAGGGTGAACAGCCGCTGTCTGCACAAGAGGTCAAGGACATCATAGCCCAAGTTGACGTCAATGGCGACGGCAAACTGGACTATGAAGAGTTTCTGTTGCTGATGAAGCCTTGAAGTTTGACTGAATGTCAATCCTTCATGGCCAAGTCGGATAATGGAACAGGCCAACCCACTAATAACAGTAGCTATTGACTATTGTGCATGTGAAAAGCAAATATTTGACCTTAACGACCTGTTTAAGTCGTTCCTTAAAATTTGTGTCTTGGCAATATTATAATTATAAAATAATTATTGTTGTAGAACTTCTAACATCAGAAGGACCTGTACCGATTCAGGTGAACCAATAAGGATACCAATTTAGGTAAACTATGAGCCATAAAAGGACTTACTTAAAATACGGTTAAATATTTGTTTTTGATTTGCACAATTGACCGCACGCTGGACTGTTATTGGATATGGGTTAGATAGGACTGCGGGTCCAAACTGGCTGCCGAAAAAGGATACACACTGGATCCGTGACGACACATTGGTTGAATTAGTGTCGGAGATCTAAACCTTATTACTTTTCCATGCAATAAAATAATACATAAGTCGACTTCCTTGAATTATTAAGCCTATACTAGAAATGCCCACAGTAATATGGATACAATACATAGAGCTAATAGTGGCCTACTCCCTCTCTAGCCACTACTCCCTCGCCAGTGAGTGAGTGCGTGCGTGCGTGCTAGCGTGCGTGCTAGCGTGCGTTAGTGAGTGAAGGAGTGAGTGAAGGAGTGAGTGAAGGAGTGAGTGGAGGAGTGAGTGAAGGAGTGAGTGAGTGACATTAGTTGGAGGTAAGACACATTATAGTTGTGTTTGAAGGCTATTCAGAAGATACTTTCCCTGCAATGTCGAATACATATTTTCGAAGTTAAGGAACACAATCTTCCTCTGCATTCACAGACAAGTTTATGGCTTGAAAACACACAGGTCACGCTAGCACTGGTGCAATCTTTGTGTCCCCGCGTACACGTGCAGGCACGGACACAAAAACGCACGTACAGAAACACACACACACACACACACACGCACGCACGCACGCACGCACGCGCGCACACATACACACACACACACGCACACACACACACGCGCGCGCACACGCACACACGCACACACTTCCAGATTATCAATTATTGTTTGTCACGTACACAAATGCAAAATACACTGTCTCAGCATATAGCCATTCCTCGGAATCTGCGTGATATACCGACTACGTTGGAAGGGATACATGCACTTCTTTCCATGTAAGCTAACGTAATACATTAGATGGTGTTAAGAAAACAAGATAGACTACAGAGTGCTTGTGCATAACCTGATAACAGATATCACATTTAGTGGTTGCTTTTTTGGAAGAATATTATTCAATCCACGAACAAAACAAGTAAGGTGATTACAAGGCATACAAGCATAGACACGAAAGGGAATCACTCCCTAATATCATAGTTGTGCACACGCATACACACACACGAACACACTGTTAATGACACTAGACCCATGGACCAGGAAGTCTTGTATATGTATTTATTCTATTTAAGATATAATTAACTATACATGCTATTGATTATAACGTTGTGACTCCGGTCATATTGATTACTGTTGAGAACTTTTATCAGTCGAGGGTATCACGTTTCTAAACGCTTGTATCTCTGCAATATATAAACCTCTTGTGTTTGCCCAAGACTCTACAACCCAGGAATCGATCATGTTTGCGTGCCCACTGTGCAATGTTTTACGTATGGACAAGAAGGAAGTAACTGTTTAATCCCAGATATCGTATACCCCTGCATGACAAGCACGACGACACACTAACGCTGGCCCTCGCACCGGCGACATGAGCCACTTAGACGACGACGAACTTGCTGTATATACCAAGGCGTTTCACGACTTTGACGCCAACCATGATGGCTACATGACGTTGTCCGAGTTCTCACGAGCGTGTGTAGCCCTGGGCTTTACCTATGGCGAGGAGACGATACAGGTATGTGTGACTCAATCACGTAGTTTAGGGGAATATGTACATTTATTTTTTAAAAAAGATGTACACATGTACATTGTTTTGCTTTGAAAGGTAAACGATCGAAATTAGCGATAGCTGCACATAGGTATTACATGCCGTGTATCGTTGGTTCAGCTTGGATCGTGGAGAATAAATGAGTGAATGGGTGAGTGGATATTGTTCTGCGCCGCATTAGCAATTTTGCAGCCATTCGCGGCGATGATAGTATTTGCGAAAGTCGACTCAATGAGAATATGAGTGCATCAATGCACGATGTTGACGGTGCAGATAGCAATGATATTGTTATATCACGGCGACTTGCAGACACTGATACTAATAATGTTATATAATAAATATAACGATGATTGTCGCATTATACTTAGAGATATGGTCTATATTACATGGAATCCTTTGCAAAATAAAATTGCAATTGATTTCAACAACACAGGCATTGCAATACACTATGGCTGACCATATACCTCTTAGTTAAGGAAGAGCATGTTAAAGTTCCGTATGAACCAATACCACCTTTGTCCGAATATACCCCTTTCCTCTCTCAGCGGAAATAATGGTCCAACACGTTTTGTTGGCCATCCTTTTTATTTTTACTGAGTGTACATGTAGATCTCAACTTTAGGGAGAGGCTGACAATGGCGGGTGGTTTTATGTAAATCCTGAAATGAAACTCGACTGTTGTGCTAATGGGTTTGGTTGGGCAGGCGTAGACAGACAGCTACGGCCACATGTAAACTCTGCCCATCGCCAACTATAGCTGATGAATTTTATTTTCCTATTTAGATGTGAAGCGTATACGGAACATAGAACCTCTCTCATAGCCGATAAATTCACGACCGCCTCCGTGGTCTAGTGGTAGAGCGTCCGCCCGGAGAGCGGAAGGTCCGATCCCCGGCCGCGTCATACCAAAAGACGTTAAAAGATGGTACTTGTTGTTACCCTGTCTGGCGCTCGGCATTAAGGGGATAAAACAAGGACTGCTCGGCTCGGAGTCAGTATACTGTGTCTGAGTGGGGTATTTATTTTAATCAGCGGCATGGTATCTCAGTGGGCTAGCACTATAAATCGGCAACAGTCCGGACTAGTACAAGCAGCCACACACACACATATATAAGTGAAATCATCTTTAAACCGTTAAACGTTAAACCCAATTTCAATTCACTGAAAATGTCACACATTTTTCTCACATCACTAGATTTAAACACTTCCTTTCCTCCAAAACAGATCCAATTAATAGTCCTGAAGAAGCTCGCAAATTCCTCTCAATCATTGATAGGAATATGAGAAGAATAACTAATCTATTTATAGTCATGTATACCTTTATGGTATACGAACTAGTGTGTCCCCATGTACACTAGCTTGATTTTTCATATGATTTATTGTTATCCTGATACATTGTAAATAATTATGTGTGAAATTATCATAAATTATTACGTATGTGTGCATGATCATTGTACGACATGTATGTGATATTCAAATGTGCATCACATTATGTGTGTATATTCATGTAATATTGCGTATCCTGCCATCTTGCTTTATATTTATGTATTTTATTGAAATTAATACTTTTCCTTTTGTACCACCGTGGTTGTTTTTCGAGAATACACCTGAGTTGAGTTGAGGCAGCAGAGTCGTACGATGGCGACTGTCCATCCGTTCTCACATTCAGAACAATGTTCAGATCCAACGAATAAACAAATCTCACTGACAGACAGCAATTGGTTTTGAGTCATTCCTTTGTGTCCGAGTATATCTGCAGAATTCAATAAAAAATTCTTTCAAAGCATTTTGCTCAGTCTGTTGTGGGTCAATTACATGTATACTTACAAGAACCTGGCATCAAAGGTGCGTGACGCACGATCCGTGTTATATCCTTTGGACCCTCACAATTTGTATATCACGGTAATCAACACGGATCTGGACTTTGCGGTCCCTGTCCCGCCTATATCCAACATGCCAGCAACACTATAGCCAGCCATACGTGAATGTTCAATGTCATATAAGAATCTCAGTTTGTTAATATAAATCTGAACACTTTGCGCATCGTGTAAATCCTCGTAGCGGCACATCAGTTTTTAACGTTTATACCTCCAAACACATTATCAAATTCATATCTAAGAAATAAATAAGTCAACAAAGATTACTTCACAGACTTGTCATGCAGTCCTGAACACAAAACAACTGCCGATAACCATACGAAAACAGCGCCGTCGCTGAGCGCAATAATGCAACACAAGGCCAATCCTCTCTATCAGCCAATCAGTTATACGTGTCCCAAGTCCCTGGTTGGCTTGTTCGGGTTTATGGAAACCAGTTGCTTGCTTGGGATTATTTGCAAATTATATTACATGGCGACTGATTCGTTATCTTTAAAATGTGCAGCTATCTAAAAATACTAGAGACGTGACTCACACATATTTGAGACGTGACTCACACATACTTGAGACGTGACTCACACATACTTGAGACGTGACTCACACATACTTGAGACGTGACTCACACATACTTGGGACTGACTCCCACATACTAGACGAATGACTCAAACATACTAGAGACGTGATTCACACATACCAGACACGTGACTCAGACATACCAGACACGTGACTCATACATACTAGACACGTGACTCATACATACTAGACACGTTACTCACACATACTAAAGACGTGACTCGCACATACCAGACACGTGACCCATACATAATAGATACGTGACTCACACATACCAGACACGTGACTCACACATACTAGACACGTGACTCACGCATACCAGACACGTGACTCACACATACTAGAGACGTGATTCACACATACTAGACACGTGACTCACACATACTAGAGACGTGATTCACACATATAAAACACGTGAATCACACATACCAGACACGTGACTCACACATATAAGACACGTGACTCACACAAACTAGACATGTGACTCACACATACCAGAGACGTGATTCACACATAACAGACACGTGACTCACACATACCAGAGACGTGACTCACACATACTAGACACGTGACTCACACATACCAGACACGTGACTGACACATACCAGACACGTGACTCACACATACCAGACACGTGACTCACACATACTAGACACGTGACTCACACATACTAGAGACGTGAATCATACATATTAGACACGTGACTCACACATACCAGACACGTGACTCACACATATTAGACACGAGACTCACACAAACTAGACATGTGACTCACACATACCAGAGACGTGATTCACACATAACAGACACGTGACTCACACATACCAGAGACGTGACTCACACATACTAGACACGTGACTCACACATACCAGACACGTGACTCACACATATTAGACTCATGATTCACACATACTAGACACGTGATTCACACATATTAGACACGTGATTCACACATATTAGACACGTGACTAACACATATTAGACACGTGATTCACACATATTAGACACGTGACTTACACATATTAGACACGTGATTCACACATATTAGACACGTGACTTACACATATTAGACACGTGATTCACACATACTAGACACGTGACTCACACATGCCAGAGACGTGACTCACACATATTAGACACGTGACTCACACTGAGCTGGATCAAGTTGAAATGTGCATAAAGAGCCGTGAACCAGCTTAGACTTCCACATACAAGGGCGTAACTTCCACACACCAGGGCGTGATAACCCTTTAAAGACCGAAAGCAAAGACTTCGATATAGATGTAAGTCGTAGCATGCTAACCCTTTAAACACCGAAAGCAAAGACTTCGATATAGATGTAAGTCGTAGCATGCTGACCCGTTAAAGACCGAAAGCAAAGACTTCGATATAGATGTAAGTCGTAGCATGCTTACCCTTTAAAGACCGAAAGCAAAGACTTCGATATAGATGTAAGTCGTAGCATGCTAACCCTTTAAAGACCGAAAGCAAAGACTTCGATATAGATGTCAGTCGTAGCATGCTTACCCTTTAAAGACCGAAAGTAAATACTTCAATTTAGATGTAAGTCGTAGCATGCTAACCCGTTAAAGACCGAAAGCAAAGACTTCGATATAGATGTCAGTCGTAGCATGCTTACCCTTTAAAGACCGAAAGTAAATACTTCAATTTAGATGTAAGTCGTAGCATGCTAACCCGTTAAAGACCGAAAGCAAAGACTTCAATATAGATGTCAGTCGTAGCATGCTTACCCTATAAAGACCGAAAGTAAATACTTCAATTTAGATGTAAGTCGTAGCATGCTAACCCTTTAAAGACCGAAAGTAAAGACTTCAATATAGATGTCAGTCGTAGCATGCTAACCCTATAAAGACCGAAAGTAAATACTTCAATATAGATGTCAGTCGTAGCATGCTAACCCTTTAAAGACCGAAAGTAAAGACTTCAATTTAGATGTAAGTCGTAGCATGCTAACCCTTTAAAGACCGAAAGTAAAGACTTCAATATAGATGTCAGTCGTAGCATGCTAACCCTTTAAAGACCGAAAGTAAAGACTTCGATATAGATGTAAGTCGTAGCATGCTAACCCGTTGAAGACCGAAAGCAAAGTCGGTTTAGTTTATTGTCGCTGTGTGCTGCCACAATGAACAGTTTTGATTCATTCAATTGAAATGTTCAAATAGTACGGAATTATGACATAACTGATCCTCCCATTTGGGACAAGCAATGTAATATAATTACAGATCGATCCGATATAGACGGAGTATTGCTGAATAATTACAGAACGACCTGATATAGACGGACTATTGCTGAATAATCACAGATCGATCTGATATAGACAGGCTATTGCTGAATAATTATACATCGACATGTTATAGACGGACTATTGCTGAATAATTACAGATCGGCCTTGATATAGCTGGACTATTGCTGAATAATCACAGAACGACCTGATGTATCTAGGTTATTGCTTGTTAATTACAGATCGACCTGATATAGCCCGACTATTGCTGACTAGTCACAGATCGACCTGATGTAGACGGACTATTGCTGAATGCGGCTTACAACAATATTCACTCACTGTTGTATCGATGTTTTCAGACCCTGTTCTGTGAAATGGACGCCGACAAGAACGAGAAAGTGACACTGGAGGAGTTTCTGGCCTTCATGGGTCCCGACAGCGAGGAGAAGTTGTAAGTAGCATCTTACTTGAGATTATACTACACTCTTGCCACGTACAGAATCGTTCTACTCCCTTAAACACCGCCATAGGCAAGGTGAATTGGTGATAAAGGATGTGAATTGTATACCGTCATAAAGGATGTTGACCGTACACCTCAGTTAAGGATACAGGTTGTGTACTTGAGGATGTAGGTTGAATGCTTTCATTGAGGAAGTAGGTTGAATGTTATCATTTTGGATGTAGGTTGAACAACGCCATTTGGGGATGAAGGTTATACCACGCCGTTGGGGATGTAGGTTAAATGCCGTCATTTAGGATGTAGGGTGAATGCCGTCATTTGGGATGTAGGTTGTCATTGATGGTACTTGTTTAATTTTGTTATTGAGGATGTTGGTTGAATGCTGTCATTGAGGATGTATGTTGAATTCTTTCATTGGGGATGTAGGTTGAATTCTTTCATTAGGAATGTAGGTTGTCATTGATGATGCTGGTTTAATATTGTTATTGAGGATGTAGGTTGAACAACGCCATTGAGGTTGTAGGCTGAATGCTTTTACTGAGGATGTAGGTTGAATGTTATCATTGGGAATGTAATTTTAATGCTGTCATTAAGGATGTAGGTGAATAACGCAATTGAGGATGTAGGTTGAACAACGTCATTGAGGATGTAGGTTGAAGGCTGCCATAAAGGATGAAGGTTGAATGCTTTCACTGAGGATGTAGGTTGAATGTTATCATTTGGGATGTAGATTGAACAACGTCATTGGGGATGTAGGTTGAATGCTGTCGTTGGGGATGGAAAATGACATTTAGTAAGTTGTACACAGACATAACGTAATTAGAACACCACATGGTGGACGGATTTCTTTGTACGTAATGTCATACTGAAAGAATATACTGACAGATTGTCAACACGTTCGCACACGACGAAAGCAAAGAAACCGACTGTAGTAGTGGTTGAGTTGGGAATGCAGATTATGCTGACACAAATTTTATGAATTATTTCAATCCAACAGTTGATAGTTCCCTTCATGTATTACCAATTCCAACCTGTCGACCTATGCTAAGGGTGCAGTTCATATTAACGACAACTAAAAGTATTACTGTCAAATCACACAACTATATCTTTCAGAATGGCCAGTGTCAGGCGGATATTCAATGAATATGATACAAACAAAGATGGCTTCCTAACAGCAGACGAGATCCAGAGCGCTTGGTTCTCGGGGGAACGTGGAACAAAGAGACTTTCGAAGAGTGAGGTTGCAGAACTTATGGCACCGGTAGACATCAATGGAGACGGCAAACTGAACTACGAAGAATTTCTCCAACTGGTGTTGTCGGCAATGGGAAATGATGATAGCAAAACGTTTGACAAAGTCTGAATTATGTACACTAGCTCGTTCTCAGCAGAATAGGCCATTTGTTGAATTTTGTACATATATTTGTTATGTTCATAAGATCAGCATTAGCATCACAATTATGTCGATAAGGACCAATAACTAAAATCTATCTCCCACTTGATTCTTGTCCAAACTCTTCGTGACATTTAACCACCAAACCTGTATAAAACATAACTCTGCGTAAAGCGTTCTTTTTTCCTGAAAGTACATCGTTACATCTTACTTTTATACTGATACCCATGGTGCATACAGAGAAACTCTTTAAAGAGCTGGCACCAAGGAATACATACGGGGAGTTTTGTTGTAGATGTGGTATCCAGGATACTTACAGGGGACCTCGTTGTAGAGTTCGTACCCATGGTGCATACAGAGAAACTCTTTAAAGAGCTGGCACCAAGGAATACATACGGGGAGTTTTGTTGTAGATGTGGTATCCAGGATACTTACAGGGGACCTCGTTGTAGAGTTCGTACCCATGGTGCATACAGAGAAACTCTTTAAAGAGCTGGCACCAAGGAATACATACGGGGAGTTTTGTTGTAGATGTGGTATCCAGGATACTTACAGGGGACCTCGTTGTAGAGTTCGTACCCATGGTGCATACAGAGAAACTCTTTAAAGAGCTGGCACCAAGGAATACATACGGGGAGTTTTGTTGTAGATGTGGTATCCAGGATACTTACAGGGGACCTCGATGTAGAGTTCGTACCCACGGTGCATACAGAGAAACTCTTTAAAGAGCTGGTACACAGGGTACATACAAGAGACCTCGTTGAAGTGCGGGTATATATGTCATACACCAAGGGAATTGTTGGGATTTCGTTGTGGTTTTCGTACCCGTGATATATACGGCGGTCCTCGTTCTAGTGCTGTTACCTTGGCTCAGTCACACAAACACCAGGCTCAGCCACACAAACACCAGGCTCAGCCACACAAACCCCAGGCTCAGTCACACAAACACCAAGCTCAGTCACGCAAACCCCAGGCTCAGTCACACTAACACCAGGCTCAGTCACACTAACTCCAGGCTCAGTCACACTAACACCAGGCTCAGTCACACTAACTCCAGTCTGGTCACACAAACACCAGGCTCAGCCACACAAACACCAGTCCGGTCACACAAACACCAGTCCGGTCACACAAACACCAGGCTCAGTCACACAAACACCGGTCCGGTCACACAAACACCGGTCCGGTCACACAAACACCAGGCTCAGCCACACAAACACCAGGCTCAGCCACACAAACACCAGTCCGGTCACACAAACACCAGTCCGGTCACACAAACACCAGGCTCAGTCACACAAACACCGGTCCGGTCACACAAACACCAGGCTCAGTCACACAAACACCAGTCTGGTCACACAAAAACCAGGCTCAGTCACACAAACACCAGTCTGGTCACACAAACACCAGGCTCAATCACACAAACACCAGTCCGGTCACAGAAACACCAGGCTCAGTCACACAAACACCGGTCCGGTCACACAAACACCAGGCTCAGTCACACAAACACCGGTCCGGTCACACAAACACCAGGCTCAGTCACACAAACACCAGTCTGGTCACACAAAAACCAGGCTCAGTCACAGAAACACCAGGCTCAGTCACAGAAACACCAAGCCCCAGTCACACAAACACCAAGCCCCAGTCATACAAACACCAGGCTCAGTCACAAAAACACCAGTCTGGTCACACAAACACCAGGCTCAATCACACAAACACCAGTCTGGTCACACAAACACCAGGCTCAGCCACACAAACACCAGTCCGGTCACACAAACACCAGGCTCAGTCACACAAACACCGGTCCGGTCACACAAACACCAGGCTCAGTCACACAAACACCGGTCCGGTCACACAAACACCAGGCTCAGTCACACAAACACCAGTCTGGTCACACAAAAAACAGGCTCAGTCACAGAAACACCAGGCTCAGTCACAGAAACACCAAGCCCCAGTCACACAAACACCAAGCCCCAGTCATACAAACACCAGGCTCAGTCACACAAACATCAAGCTCAGTCACACTAACTCCAGTCTGGTCACACAAACACCAGGCTCAGTCACACTAACACCAAGCTCAGTCACACTAACACCAAGCTCAGTCACACAAACACCAAGCTCAGTCACACAAACACCAGGCTCAGTCACACAAACATCAAGCCCCAGTCACAGAAACACCAGGCTCAGTCACACAAACATCAAGCTCAGTCACACAAACACCAAGCTCAGTCACACAAACACCAAGCTCAGTCACACAAACACCAAGCCCCAGTCACAGAAACTCCAGTCTGGCCACAACTATAAATGACTGCAGATATACTTAAACTGCCTTTGCATGAGTATGCTGTTCCTGAATCGGATCATTGAAGCTGAGGGAACGAACACTACATCGATAAAGTAAAATATTCATCGGACATTACAGTGACAGTACACATATACAAACCAGTCACGGCGATTGAGCGAATGTACAGCTTGTACACATGGGCCCCACTTGGGGTTAATGTGAGCTGGGAACTGGCCCTAAATGGGCAGCCCATCGGGGCCCCGTTCGACTTTGTCCAAGGGTTCCCACAGGGTTCTGAGTTGGCATTATGAGTTGTCAACCGATCCCTCGGGGCATGTGGTGTGATGTACCGTGTGTGAGCCTACGTGTGAGGTACGTCACACCGTATGCCCCAAGGGATCGGTTGACAAGGAATGTATGTAACCGACATATATTTATACACACCATAATTATGTCCAAAGCTTCACTGAGAAAAAACGCTTTGATTCAGCTATTTTGACAGCTCCAGACGACGCTAATGAACGGAGTTACTTCCCTTTAACGAATGCATTTGAATAAACATCGGCTCATTTCTGCTTAACGATGCTTATGCGAGATATGCAAGTTACCTACGGTCTGTTCCGATTGATTTCTCAGCAGACTACATGATACAATGTTAAACTGGCGAAATATGAAATATGACTTTGCAGTGACTTGCAAGTTCCGTTTCTTCAGACCTATGCACGTCACATCCCTTTTACAGCAGGAAAAAGGACGCCCCTTCATGTGGCACGTGTGGTCACATACTTCACTGGACAAGGGAATATCTTCATACTTTTTCGATCTGCTGTTTCCATAGACCTCACGTCCATATAATTGTTGGGGAACACCCGTTACTCCTGTATAGTTAAATTGTATGGAAACACCCTTTACTCCTGTGTAGTTAAATTGTTTAGTAACACATGTTACTCCTGTATAGTTGAATTGTTTGGGAACACCCGTTACTCCTGTATAGTTGAATTGTTTGGGAACACCCGTTACTCCTGTATAGTTGAATTGTTTGGGGAACCCCCACCGTTACTCCTGTATAGTTGAAGTGCATGGGAACACCCGTTACTCCTGTATAGTTGAATTGTTTGGGAACACCCGTTACTCCTGTATAGTTGAATTGTTTGGGGAACCCTCACCGTTACTCCTGTATAGTTGAAGTGCATGGGAACACCCGTTACTCCTGTATAGTTGAATTGTTTGGGAACACCCGTTACTCCTGTATAGTTAAATTGTATGGAAACACCCTTTACTCCTGTGTAGTTGAATTGTTTGGGAACACATGTTACTCCTGTATAGTTGAATCGTTTGGGAACACCCGTTACTCCTGTATAGTTGAAGTGTTTGGGAACACCCGTTACTCCTGTAAAGTTGAAGTGTATGGAAACACCCGTTACTCCTGTATAGTTGAAGTGTTTGGGAACACCCGTTACCCCTGTATAGTTGAATTGTTTGGGAACACCCGTTAGCCCTGTATACTTGAATTGTTTGGGAACACCCGTTACTCCTGTATAGTTGAATTGTTTGGGAACACCCATTACTCCTGTATAGTTGAATTGTTTGGGAACACCCGTTACTCCTGTATAGTTGAATTGTTTGGGAACCCCCACCGTTACTCCTGTATAGTTGAAGTGCATGGGAACACCCGTTACTCCTGTATAGTTGAATTGTATGGAAACACCCGTTACTCCTGTATAGTTGAATCGTTTGGGAACACCCGTTACTCCTGTATAGTTGAAGTGTTTGGGAACACCCGTTACTCCTGTATAGTTGAATTGTTTGGGAACCCCCACCGTTACTCCTGTATAGTTGAAGTGCATGGGAACACCCGTTACTCCTGTAAAGCTGAATTGTTTGGGAACCCCCGTTACTCCTGTAAAGCTGAATTGTTTGGGAACACCCGTTACTCCTGTATAGTTGAATTGTTTGGGAACACCCGTTACTCCTGTATAGTTGAAGTGTTTGGGAACACCCGTTACTCCTGTAAAGTTGAAGTGTATGGAAACACCCGTTACTCCTGTATAGTTGAAGTGTTTGGGAACACCCGTTACTCCTGTATAGTTGAATTGTTTGGGAACACATGCCATTACTCCTGTATAATTGAATTTGTTTGAGAACACCCGTTACTCCTGTATAGTTGAATTGTTTGGGATCCTTACTGCCCTTATGTCCCCAAAGCAAACAAATACGCTAAAAACAATTGTTGCATGTTCTGAGAGGTTGCACTTGTATCTACAAAGTCCTGATAAATACAGGTTTAGTTTGGGAAGAGTACATTCATGAACAAACCTCTGCCCATTAACAACGCTGGGAGGATCTTTAGCAGCCAGATGACATCAAGTATCTGAAAGACTTCTTGATAGATGGTCACACATTCAATTACACCAGGATGCCTGGACTGGCCCATGAGAGAACAAAAAACAACAACTGAACGTTCCAATGTGAGTGTTTTAAAGCACGAGTTGATGTGTAGATACAAAATTACAGAAGTAAATATGCCATGGCCCCGTTCCACAAAGCGATCGTAGCACTAAGACAATTGTAACTCACATACTTTAACATAGACTTACGACAATCGTAGCGCTACGATCGCTTTGTGGAACGGGCCCCAGGTTGTTATGCTTAATACGGCTGATTCACACTCCACGTGCTATCTACTGTCCTGTTTAAGTTGGACGTATTTCTCCCCCTTTACTATTATATTATTGAATGCAGCCACGCCACTTTACTGTTAAATCAACAATATTAATATTTGGCAGACCTTATCTTGCGTCGCTTGATGTCACATTTTACAGATGCTTCTGGAAGTGTCTGGCCGCGTATCGAACTTTCCACGTGCACGACAAATCACACAAACACTAGAGGAATCTAAACAGGAAGGTACAAA